GCTCATAAGTTTAGTGTTATCAGTGATTGATGGCCCTAGACTTATTGCTCTCACTCCGACGTTCGCGGCAATATGTAACATGTGCGGCGCAATCGTCTTTCTTGCACGTATGTGCCCCTGACGCATGTTTGCATGCGTGTATGTATGGGTGGGGACTTTAAAAAAATGTTTTGTTTTTTTATTCTTTTTTATGCGTAACTTTAACCTGTCAGTTTTTGGATGACAGCAGCTCTGTAGCGTGGCCGAACGGGGGATCGTTAAATATCAGTGATATTTAACGATCCCTCTGTGCAGAGCAAACACCGGAGTGATTGTCTGATCACTCCGGTGTTTGTAAATAACTGGGGACACATAGTACTATGTGTCCCCAGTTATGAATGAACAGGCTGTAATTTACATCACAGCCTGTTCATTCAAGAATTTATGAATGGGGACTAGCACTCACTACAGAGGCTCCTCCCCATTCATAAACTAATGATAGTAAGATATTTTTACTGTCATTAGTTTGTGAATGAATGAGAAGCCTCTGTACTGACTGCTTCCCATTCATTGAGTGCTGGGGCTGCAATTTCCTCAATTTCTATTTAAAAAGGGAAATGTCAGGGGTCTATTTAGACCCCAGATATTTCACCGCAGGGGGACTCCTGGTTACTAGGTAACCAGGAGATACTGAACTGTCATTACACACTGAGAACCCGGCGGAGCCGCTGTGATATCATAGCGGCGCCGCCAGGTTCTCTGTGTAATGACAGTCCAGCTTCCCCTAGTTACTAGGTAACCAGGAGATGCTGAACTGTGATTACACACTGCGAACCCGGCGGAGCCGCCGTGATATGGCGGTTCCGCCGTGTTTAGACCCCAGAGATTTCACCGTAGCCCCCCCAACAGTCAAAAAATAAATACAAAATTATAATTTTTTTTAAATGTATCGCAATTATCGCAGGTCCTACAAATTTAGTATCACCATCTTTTTATTCTACCGGGCCTGCGCTTTCAGAAAATATATGGTTTGGGGGGTCTTTTACAAACGCTAGCAACCCAGCAGTTGAAAATCAAATCAATAGGAAACAATTGCAAAAATGGCTTGGCCAGCTGATTTGGCCAGCTGATTTGAAAAATGTTCCGGATGGCCGCAAAAGGGTTAATGAGGGCCCGAAGATCACAGGCATTCAATATTGCGTTTCTCCACATTCTCTGAATCTTATATTATATACTGTAAATGATGATATACTTAATGTATTTGTAATTTTACATTAAGGAACATTATTCTGAAATTGTTTGACAATTTTTGGTTTGACACATTGGTGAACCTCTGCCCAGCTTTCCTCCTGAGACACTCTGACTGATTAAGATGCTCTTTTTTATAAAAACCTAATTAACCTAATTAGTTGCAAAATGTTCTTCTAGCTCTTCCTTGTTAGTATCACTTACTTTGCCAGCTTTTTGTTGCATTGTCCCAACTTTTTTTTTGCCTCCATCAATTTAAAAATGAGCTTATTTTTTTCTTAAAATGGTACATTTTCTCAGTTTAAACATTTGATATATTTTATATTGTGAATAAAATATGGGTTTATGAGAATTGAAAATTGTATTCTGTTTTTATGTAGATTTTGCAGTGTCCGAACTTTATTGGAATTGGGATAGTAAAAAAAACTAGGACGGTTCAGACATTTTACTGGACCCCACTTATGACCATAGAAAGGAACGATGCAGGTGGCACTAGTTGTAAACGTGTGTACTGCATTAATGAGGCCTGAAACAGAGTCCTTGAGCTTGGTCGAAATGTTTGCAGCCAAGTCCTGAGTGGATGCTTGAGAGGCAGAATCCTTCACCTCCACCGCAAGAAGATTAAGAACTTCAGTATCGGAGCCAACTTTTGAACATATGTTAAAATGCACATTTTAGGCCTGTAGATTAGTAAAAAAAAAAAAAACTCCCAGAATTACATATTTTCTTAAGGCAGAGACCCTGGAGATGTTACTGGTTACAATTTTTTGTCATATGTTATTAGCACAACTGTCCATCAAACCCAAATTTTCAATTAAAAAATACACAAGCTAATTTTAGTCCACACAAATACAAGATGATCCTACTTTTTTTTTGGGTAAAACATAAAAGATGAGGTTGCACAAATACCAAACATGTCAAGCCTTAAATTGTGCGCTCTGTGAAAAAGCAATACATTTTGGTTTCCAAGATTGTCCATAGGTAACACATTAAAAGCCTTTACAAGCACACCCAACTTGTTTTTGGCAAACAGGGGCAGGAGGCTTTAAAAATATTTTTGTATGGTTTTTTATTTTGGGTTACTTTCATCTTTTTTTTTCCGGCTGCACTTTATTGCCATCACGTAAAGGGCTCACAACAGGCTCTCTTTACGGAGACATCAAGGGTCTATATTACCCCTAATGTCACCTCAGGAGAGACCAGCAGCTGTCACCCACCATGCCTGTTACAGGTACACAGGAGAAGCAGCAGAGCCCGGATTACATTCAAGGCATATGAAAGTGATCATGGTGCTTTACAGCTGCACAAATAACTTCTGTCTAAGAGCTGACAGTTGGCTTGTAAGAGTTAGCACCTACAGCAACCAGCGGTGTTTTAAAAAAAACCTTACGACTAGCCCCCCATTTATAAACAGTGCTGGTAGACAAGTGGTGAGGGGAAATGCGGGAGGAGTCAGAGAGAGTCTCTGAAGTGGTAGGAGAGGGGGTTCACTTGTGACTTCTACAGTCTGGAGCATGGAAAAGGTCAGCTATCTTCCCCATGAACTCAGACATAACAGTATTCAACTCAGTAATAAACAGAAAGTCTGAGGAGGGTGTCCTAGAGGGTGCAGAGGGGGACCCCGACACTAGCATTGAGGAGGACAAGGAACAAATCATGGGACTTACAAAAAATGGCATGGCTGGAGGGTGTAGGCCTGTTGCATGCAGTGCAGTCAGGCTGTTTGGCCATATAGCCCCTACCCTTGTGTTTCCAGTCTGAGTTGCACCACGTGTGTCCCCACGAAGCAGCTCACAGTAGTGGTGAGAGTGTGGCCACTGTGCTAAGACCAGGAGGGACCAGGAGGTAACCCCAGAGCTTGTAATGCAGGGTGTTTTCAACCAAGAGACTGATGTGCAGAGTCTAAACCCGGCCATACACCTTACAACCATCGCAAGACTTTCGTCTCGCGATGGTTGTAAGGTAATTAAAAAAACATACTATCTGCCCATCTTGGACAGGTAGATCGTACTTGCGAACATCGCCAGCCCGCCCCGCTAAGGAGCGGGCTTCCGATGACTGCAATGCTGGACAGTGTGTGCTTACGCACACCGGCCCATGCAGCATTTGTCTTACGAGCAGGCCACTAACCCGCCAAAAATCGTACGATTCCCTGCGGGTTTTCAAACATGCTTGTAAGACAAAAGACGTGCGACCGTACAGTAGAAACGGTCGCACGCCTTCCATACACCTGCCGATTATCGTACGATCGCGGGATTTCCCGCGATTATCGTACGATAAATCGGCAGGTGTATGGGCACCCTAAGAAACAGCAGGAAGTATGTGGCTGTGAAGACAGCACACCAAGGAGACACAAAATGGTGGGCACATGCACAGCACAAGTACCCCAAGGTAGGCTAGGAGGTCTTCAGGGTCAGGGCTCCACCTAGATGGACCTGGTTGTGTAAAGCACCCTTGTGGCTAACCACACACTGCATGGGGTGCCAAGGAAGGTGCCAAAACACAAGGTTCTGTCTGGAGGGGTCTGGGCACGGTCTGCCAAGGCACCGCCGGGTAGATAACCAATCCAAATAGCTGCTATAGGCAACGAAAAAACCAATACCGGCGCCTCTGGTTGCAAGATGAACTGGTTGTGAAGTTGGCTTAACACTCAAAAGGCAGCTCTCACTGGTCAAAAAGACCATCGATCTAGGAAACAAGGGACAAGACAGAGCGCCTCCATAGTGTAAAAGTGTTATTTATATAAATTTGTTTAGTTTAGTTTTGATTCGGATTTTTCATTATTTCGTTTTTCGGATTCGGGTCCGAAATTACATCTGTGTCGGCATTCGGATTCGGCCGAAAATTCATTAGCGGTAGTCCAGTCGAAATTTAGTTTATGGACGAAACTTTGTTGCAGCAAAACGACATTAGGGAAAAAAAAATTTTTTAGTTTGCAGAAGATCAACAAAAAAAGCGTGTTATTTATATGTACAACACGCAAATAAAAATGTACTTACAGGAAAGTCGGTGGTTAAAAGCATACAAATGGTGATAAAGTAAAATCTCTAGCAACGGAAGTCTGAAGGAGTACAGCACATCCGCATCCTCTGCCCCCTTGAGTTCTAAAGGTCTACGCGTTTCAGGGGCATGCCCCCTTCATCAGAACCTGCTGCTATAGGCGCCGCAGTGGCATAGAGCAGTGTTAAGTAAACTTGTTGGAAGAATCTCGCACAAAAAGGAGTAGCACTTCTCCCAGAGCTGAGAGAAAGTGCCCATCATCTAAAGCCACTAGCAAAAACTGAGGCAGACCAGGAGTGGAAGGGGTTATGCAGGGGTTTTCCTGCAGCTTCGATTAATTTGCCAGTGTCCAACCACCTGAAAGTAGCTGCATAACCCAGTGTATAAAGATCAACTCCCTGTGGCCTGTGATGATCAAGAAACAAATTTTTTCTCACTTAGTAAGAACAGATTACAGCTCAGTTTGTAAAGTAGTAAGTATCTCTTAGAAGATGCTAGGGATAAAGATGCAGAAGCCTATTATCTTTTATTTGGTGTGGTAAATATACGGATATCATAAGGCAAGTGTTACACTTTGTTACAATTTTTCATACTTAAAATAAAGTTTTCAATTTTAATTGTCTGTAATATCCCCCCATGCCCGTTCTGGAACTGGCACACTTTTGTTAATAATAATAATTCTGTTTCAGCTTTCAGTATATGCTTCCTTAAAATATATGCTAATGTCACCGCCTAAACTTGAAAAACTGCCTAAATGGATGGACTGAACTTACCTTAACATTTTGGATCATTTTTGCCACCTCTACTTTTGTTTTGCCTTTCACAGACTTTCCATTCACCCCAGTGATTTCATCTCCAGCTGCAATGGTCCCATCTAGTGCAGCAGGAGTATTGTCAAACACCTTTAGAAATGGAAAAAAAGCAGCATTAATAGAAACAAAAGCTAGCAGTTTAACTGAAAAGATGTGTATGATAATATCAAGAGCTTTATTTATGCATCACTGGAACTCAAAAAATCTGCGCTCCTACCACTAAATGAGAAAAACAAAACCTAGTTCTGCCGCTGTCATCTCACATAATATACACACACATTAATATATATATTTTATATAGATATATAAAACCGTGCTACACCAAAATACAAATATGTATAGTTAATAATTTAAAAATCCTAAAATGTGGATATAAACTGTAATAAATAAAATAGGTATAAGAATACATGTGTGTGCCAAGTGCTTCCTATCTCCAGAAATACTCTGCATACAAGTGGTCACTAACAATGTGCTCCAAGTATATTAAATCCAAAATATCAAATGTTCCACATAAAAGTGATTGCAAATTTACAAATGTGTTCTCAATGCTTTTATGTTTCCAATAAAAAGTCCATATATACAAAAATCGAAGTTCCGCAAATAGTCCCCAGAATTTTACTGTCGATTACTTCACACTGCTCTTCATCAAAGTGAATACACCATATATGCAAACTGTTCACAAATCCATGTCTTCCTTTCACATTGATACCCTCTCCCCCACTCTATGCCGTTTGTTGCACACCGCATTTACCAGAGGATATGGACCATATACAGGTGAAACTCGAATAATTAGAATATCGTGCAAAAGTTCATTTATTTCACTAATGCAACTTAAAAGGTGAAACTAATATACGAGATAGACTCATTACATGCAAAGATTTGTCATAATTGTGATGATTATGGCTTACAGCTCATGAAAACCCCAAATCCACAATCTCAGAAAATTAGAATATTGTGAAAAGGTGCAATATTCTAGGCTCAAAGTGTCCCACTCTAATCAGCTAATTAAGCCATAACACCTGCAAAGGGTTCCTGAGCCTTTAAATGGTCTCTCAGTCTGGTTCAGTAGGAATCACAATCATGGGAAAGACTGCTGACCTGACAGTTGTGCAGAAAACCATCATTGACACCCTCCATAAGGAGGGAAAGCCTCAAAAGGTAATTGCAAAAGAGGTTGGATGTTCCCAAAGTGCAGTATCAAAGCACATTAATAGAAAGTTATGTGGAAGGGAAAAGTGTGGAAGACAAAGGTGCACAAGCAGCAGGGATGACTGCAGCCTGGAGAGGATTGTCAGGAAAAGGCCATTCAAAAGTGTTGGGGACTTTCACAAGGAGTGGACTGAGGCTGGAGTCAGTGCATCAAGAGCCACCACACACAGACGGATCCTGGACATGGGCTTCAAATGTCGTATTCCTCTTGTCAAGCCACTCCTGAACAACAAACAACGTCAGAAGCGTCTTACCTGGGCTAAAGAAAAACAGACCTGGTCTGTTGCTCAGTGGTCCAAAGTCCTCTTTTCTGATGAGAGCAAATTTTGCATCTCATTTGGAAACCAAGGACCCAGAGTATGGAGGAAGAATGGAGAGGCACACACTGCAAGATGCTTGAAGTCCAGTGTGAAGTTTCCACAGTATGTGTTGATTTGGGGAGCCATGTCATCTGCTGGTGTTGGTCCACTGTGCTTCATTAAGTCCAGGGTCATTATTCGAGTTTCACTTGTATAGTGAATGGTCAAATACAGATTTTTTCATCAAGGTTGAATCAGGTAATCGTCAATGCTCCACTTGTCCTTCTCGATTACTTAACGGACACGGACCCTTCTTGCAACATAGCCCAGAAGAGACACAACAAAAAACTCCATAGTGTAAAACAGTACCACACTTTATTTTAAAAATAATTTAAATAACTTACATAAAAGGTGTTCGATCGCACTATATGAAGCGCTTCTAAACAGATTCTCCGCTGTAAATCCTACACTCTCCAATGAAAACATAATGAGGTCAGCGTGCCCACACCCACCTGATGCGTTTCGTTGTCATAGACTTATTCAAAGGGTAATGTGCACACTGAGCTCATCACGCACTCCTTATATAATCACTTTCCTATAATTTACAGCTGGGGGAATCTATAATGATCTATTGCAATTAGTCATATTTTCAGATTGCCACTTAATGTCAGCAAAGAGCCTCCTCAGGTTGCCACAAGATGTCAGATGCCCCATATCGAATTAAAATAAATATTTTGTCATGTAAACAATAAAAGTATATTATACAACTGTCTCACTATATTAAAATTATCTCGAAATAATAATAAAAATGCCCCAAATTATAATATCATAAGGAAAACTATATAAAAACATATCCTATCACCATACTGTTCTATTCATTACAGTTCAAATCTAATTCAACATTCAAACCCTTTGGCTGAATAGTCTCTAATGTGTATATCCACTTTGTTTCATTTTGGGAAATAAAACTTTTAAGGTTGGACAATCTCCGATGTTTGATTGCCCTATTTTAATAACTCTTAAAGATTTTGATGGGTCGAAACTGCAGAACACACTGTGGATGAGCATCTTGGAGTTACTAAGGAGGGCTAAGTATCATAATACATTATGGAAAATTCTTCAAATAATAATGACATGTGTTACCTTATGCAGGTATGGTAAAATTGACTCTCAGGATGCTGTATTCATTCATACAGATATAGTGCAGAACTCTCTCAATAGGCTGTATTACTTTATACAGCTATTAGTCAATCAAGGTTTGTTTTACTTCATATAATTATAATGCAAGTGTGTCTCTCAATGTTAACAGACATATTATCATAGTCTTTATAATGAAGGTCTCAAGGAGGAAATCCTATTATTGGAGAATGTGTCATATACACGAATTGTACTTGCGGTTGGTTGAAACCTCACTGGAAGTGCAGTAAGTTCTTTGGGAATGTTGAACTCTGCTGGAATCATGGAATGTGCTGTGTGGAGGCAGGGTTATGGACCACTGGAATGAAGCAGCAGATTTTAACTTGCAAATATGATAATGTAGAGTGCACACACATGAATGCCGCAGAACGTTTGAACTTTGCAGAGATAATGATCAGAGTGCACACAAACAGGAATGTGATTGCAGGGTTGAATAATACAGTTCACAGAGGGTGTGATTGCATGATGGATGACCAAGAGTGCTAACACTGGGAAATGGCTGCAGAGTTGAGATTGCTGAGATCACACACAAAGCAGCAGCAATGGGATTAGATCATGATGAGTCTCAGAGGAATGCTGGATGCCACAGAGGAGAGGAGACAAGGTGAGACTCCAATGGTGCCGATTTGTTCTAGAGGAGGAGAGGTGGCTGCGTGAGACAGGGATCCAACATCTTACAAATTACATAGACGCTGGCTGTTTGAACCTTGCGGCTTAAGGAGGAAGAGATCAGTTGAAACCGCAGGACCTGATTGGCTGAAAGACGGGGCTCTACTCCGATCTCGGAAAAGATAAGTATATTACACCTATCAATTTCATAAAATATACATTTCTTTGGATCTTTATTATGACATTGTTTTAAATGTTTGGACACACTTTGAGAATTTATCAAAACTGGAGCATATTAAGAACATCAAGAAACGACTAGAAAGTCATAGGGGGACATTTATCAAATCTGGAGCAGTTGCCATGGCAGCCAATCAGCTTTGCATTTTCAAAGCTTAACTAAACAAACTGAAGAGACAAGCTGATTGGTTACTATGGGCAACTGCTCCAGATTTGATAAATGTCCCCCTATAACTTTCTAGTCGTTTCTTGATGTTCTTAATATGCTCCTATTCTGATCCTTAATTGACGGGTAGTCATCCCCACGTATTGGTATCCACAAGGGCTTTCCAATACGTGGGTTACATTGGTAGTATGACATGATATAAATTATTTAATTTCAAAGTGCCTTCCATTTACCCTATAATTAAAATAGGATCTTTTCCTGCCTTCATTAGCCTCTTCATGACTGAGCTTGTTTTTAGTTTCTGTTCATAAATGACCGACGCACTTTTGAAATTTGTGCTGTGTGATTCTTCCACGTCACGCAATATACTTTCTTACAAAGTGCACCCACACATATTATATATTGTTTTTTAGAGGACAGATAGTGCTATATATTTATATCACATATGTGTACCTAACGCCTCACTTATGACAAATCAAATATTTTTAAAAAGAAAAAAAAACGTAAAGAAAATACTTTTTCTCCTGTTTTGATTTGTAGTATTTTTTTTACAAAAACAGCACAGCTAAAAAAAAAAATGCAGTAAATACATTCATTTATGTGTCCTTTATTTGTTAAAACCTAATCCCTAGGATTTTAGAAATGTTTCTGTACTACTCGGCCTAAAACTAAAACCTAACATTTTAATCTTTTTTCTCTAAAAGCTAAAGTTAAAAGTGGTCACTTGGCATACAATGTCACTGTCACCAAGTGTCACACTTACTGACAGCTACATACTTTGAACATCACTGTCATGATGGGGTTAAAAGAAAAATTAACCCCTTAGGGTGACAAACAAATCTGCAGCTCAGCTAACAATCCCCCTATATAATAGCAAAGGCACACTGACAAGTCCTCTTTATGGAGACATTAGGGGTCTCTAGGACCCCTGTCACCTGGGGACCCCAAAAGAAGCTGATGAAGCACAGATCTGCTGCATCAACTTCTTTTCTCTGGCTATAGCAGCCAGAGGACTGATAGGTGAATGCGGAAGTGATGTATTACACATCACTTCCGCATTCACAGCATGGAGGGAGGTCAGCAAGGAGGAAGATGCTGATCTCCCTCCTATCTTACCTCCTGACGCCCTCCTGGGCCGCAGATGGGATAGCGGATCCCGGGATTGAAGGTGAGGGGTCAGGAGGTGGGCCGCTCCAGGCGGCGGCTGCAGCACTCAACGGGTCGGAAGGGGGGGTGGGGGATGCGGTCAAACATACAAACGATCGGCAGCTATAGAGCCGCTGATCGGTTGTATGTGAAACAGCCGGTAACGGCTGTAAAGAACGGGCGAGCAGGAAAAAAATGCTATCCGATGACGGCAATCCGAACGTGTG